TTTAGAATGGACAATAAACTCATAAGCTTCAAATCAAGAACAATAATAAATTTTAAAACTTTATAATAAAAATGTAATTATTTAGAAACATAAACCAAAATATTTACTAACTGAAATATTTTATATAGCAGAAAATCCACAACCAAATATACACATATAACCACATCAAGAGTAATCCTAGTTTCTAATCCTGTGGCTCGTGGCGCAAAGCCGAAACATACAGCGCACACATCGAAGTATTGTTTAATCGGCATGTGCGTACCCATAGTTTGGCGTGTGCATAACACTTAAGGGATGCGAAGATAATAAATAAACATGTTTAACAAACATGACACCCCTACTCCCAACCACCACCATGCACGAACCACCCAAGATAATCAACAAGTTAAAAACCCCCAACTCGGGATCACACAGACCCAACGACAATACCCCTCATCCCCACGAAAAAAACACCAAATTATAGAAATAAAAAAATAATAATAAAAACCCCTCAGCCAGAACCCAAACCACCATACCGCCTATCACAGTCAAACCCCGACTGAACCACCATAGACCGCCAAAACCCGACTGAACCACCATAGACTGCCAAAACCCCTCCATGCAAAAATTCTCAAAGCCTAACCACCACACATAAAAGTGCCAAAAAAACAAGCGGACACTGTCCTCCCACCGGAGAACGCAATAAGCTTGGCAACAAAAAAAACAACGAAACCAAAAAAAAAAAAAAGGTTTCATGGAATACCTTGCGGGAATCAGTAGGACTGCCCCTCTGACGCTTGGAACGCCCGTTGTTAGACACGAGCATGGAGACAACGTGTAGCGACTAGACGTTACTTAAATAGCGACACCGGAGAGAGCTTCTGTAGCGTGGCTGGAAGAAATACTAAATAGATGAGAAAGCTTATTTTGTGTGAAAAATGAATGGCCGGATATGGTACTGAATAGACGCAAGATTGAAATAAATAAAATTAAAAAAGATATGATACCAAAAATAACACGCACAAGCCCATCTGAACAGGCGCAATAATTAATTCAATGCATTAATGATGAATACAAATGACAACAATACCCCTAACTCTATATAAACAAAACCTACGCGAAATTAAAATGAACCAAATCAGAGCCATTGAAGATTAAAAATAAACGGACAGAATCTAGTCTCACGATCACACTGAATATGGTGATCTCATTGAATCCAAATATATATATATATATATATATATATATATATATATATATATATATGTGTGTGTGTGTGTGTGTGTGTGTGTGTGTGTGTGTATACATATAATTGTTAAACTAGTAAAGTACCCGTGCGATGTACGGGATAAAATTGTTAAACTTATTATGCAATTGTGTGCATTAATTATAATTTAATTTATTATTTTATAAATTATATGAAATGAGTATAATATTATTTATTAGTTATAGCAAATGAAATTTCTATTATAATTTCTCTCATACACACATATATAATCTTGATTCCCTAGTAAAGTCAATATTTATAGACTATGAGTTAATTCCAGCAATAGTCCTCAGACTATTGTGATTTTTCAAAATTAGTCCTTTTCTTTTAATTTGGACAAAAAAGACACTTGACTTTCAGATTTGTTCCAGCATTGATCCTTCCGTTAACTTTCAGTTAGTTGGGTGTTAGTGTAGGGGCTAAAATGATCATTTCATTAGCTTGACTCCTTCCTCATGTTCGTGAGTATACGTATGTATTAAAAATAGATAGATGAGAAAAATGAAAAACTCCATTGTTTCTCATCTATTTGGCGGCGACGGCTGCCAAAAGAGTCGGCAAAGCTGCTGTGATCTCGTCCAAGGCCGTAGCGGCGACTGATTGGTACTCTTGGAGGCTTTATAGGGTGTGGGATATCTAAAGAGAAATGATTTAGAAGGAGTTACTTCCCCCGATCAAAAATAATGGAGGAAAGCCGTTAAAAACTTTGACTAAAACTTCAAACAGATGGAAAGGAGAAATCATTGCATAATTATGGTTCAGGAGCAAGAAAATTGTGCTGGCAATATCATATTATCTGCGCCATGGGGTAACAAATAATTAGACTTGTGTCTCAGGAAGATAGCATAGATTACGCTTCAAGAATTCAAAATATTAAATTAAAAACAAGACAACATGAAAAAATTACAGAAGAGACTTTATTTGGTACACAATTTGTCTTATGATGCTTTCATCACAAAAAAGAGCAGAAAACCAATGTGATTCCGTGCATTAGCTCTCTAGTCACAGTTTTAACATGATACTTCTAAATGGAAAAATTAATAAGAACAAAAATATAAGCATGCATGCATGCAACTGAATAAGTATATTTTTATAATAGGTAGTACCATATATGGCATGTACTCTACTAACCTATAATACCAAATTTGTAAGATGTATCTGGCCCATCTTTTGGAGGTGTTTGAAACCAAAACTTCCTTGAAGAATCACCATTTCCAATCTCATAGTAATACTTTCTGTCAATTTAACATATTATCAGAAAATAGAAGTGTGATGACAATAATGGTCAGTTCATTAGCTTGCTTTCTTCTTCCTCATGTTCGTGAGTATACTTATGTATTAGACGCAGGTGAGCAAAATGAAAAACTCCATTGTTTCTCATCTATTTGCCGGCGGCTGCTGCCAAAAGAGGCGGTAAAGCTGCTGTGGCCTCGTCCAAGGCCGTAGCGGCGGTGACTGCAGCGGAGAACGGCAGTGCGAGCGTCGACAATTTGGCCAACGGAGTTGGGGAGCTCCAGATATCCGATTGGACGTGTACGGGCATTCTGTGTTCGCATCCTCTGTCTAGAGATATTCGGGTGAGGTTTCTGATTTACTTTTCGGATCTCACGTTATCGGATTCTCTGTTGTCAGGAGCATTTGCCTTGATTTTGTTTCAATTTTGCATGTCATTGATTGTACGTTACCAAATAGTGTGTATGATTCAAAAGGATTAGCTTATTACTGACGAGAACATTTGCTGGATATATAATATTGGTTTTACTTGCCGAAGCAATGGGGCATACTAGTTTTGGTTTAATTTGAAAATGGTGTTAAAGAACAATGCTGTTGATTAATATGCACCCTATTTTGAGTAACAATTAGCTAATTATGCACATAAGATGTCATAATGAATAAAATGTTGTTGATTTATAGTATTTTATATTTAAAACTAGAGAAGCTTGAACCAATGATACTCGTGTCCAACAGAACCCACTCTTCTTGCTGCCATGGTTTGCTTGGGCTGAATGGCTGTGATAAATCCACTCTTCTTGCTGCGATAGGATGTCGGGAACTTCACATACCAAAGCATATGTATATTTACCACCTCAGTCGTGAGATTGAAGCATCTGTCATGTCTTCACGGGAGGATGTCATCGATCTGTTGTGATGAAGAAATGTTGAAATTAGGGAAAGAAGCTGAATCTATGAAATGACCATTTTAACCCCTACATTAACACCTAACAAAGTGAAAGTTAACGGAATGACTAATGGTGGAACAAATATGAAAGTCAAGTGTTTTTTTCGTCCAAATTAAAAGACAGGGACCGATTTTGGAAAATCACAATAGTCGGAGGACTATTGCTGGAATTAACTCATAGACTATTAAGTAAAGTTAATTGAATATCAACATAAGACTTATATGAAGGGAATATAGTAACAAATGCGATTTCTATTTATAATTTATATTAAATTTTAATTTGATGCATAGTATATTTAAAGTAGAAAATTGGAATGTGTAATAAGTAAGCATAAAAATATTTATTAATATTTGAATAAAAGAAAATGAATATTATAAATTATTAAAAACTTCATTGTAAAATATATTAGTGTTTGAAGTACATATTTGTTCTAATTCATTACCAATTAAATTTTTGAAACCTTGTGCATAACTAATTCTTCTTGAAAGAGAGTTATCAAAAAAAAAAAAAAAAAAAAAAAAAAAACTTTCGAAAGAGCAATATATAATTTACAATGAAGTAACAATCATACATGAGCAAAAAATGTTTGTCCTTAATGGTCATTGCATATGTGAGCATTACTGGAAATTATCTTCTATTTAACTTGAATGACAATCTTGAATCTGAAAGAGTATATATATAAATGTTATTAACGCCGGGAGATAGAATCCGGGTAGGACAGAGGCAGCTCAGCAAGGGTTGGGAATCCCGTCATGTTTTGCATCTCTAGATGGGCTTGATTGGGACGAGGGCACGCCAATCAATGTTACTGTTAGTACGAATGAGGGGAGTCAGAATGCGAGGGCAGACAACTAGTCCGGGAACACCAATCTCCCAAGGATCAGGACAAACCATCAAGCCAATGGGATTAGTGTGATGGCCCAGACGGGGAATGCGAACCACAGTTCTGGGGTTCGAATTGGTACCACATCTCTTCCTACACCGGCTCAACGTGGTGCTTTTAAGGGCAGGAATGGGAGAGGTGGCACACCAAGGAGGGCGGCAGCCGAAATGGAGCACACGGTGGTTCGCGGCTATATTCGAGGGGGACGTACCACCAGTACGGTGGTCTTTAGATCGAATAACCACACGAAGCAGCTCCAATGGAGGTGTTCGAAGGTGGAGGGACTAGAGCCCAGCCATGACTGTGCGGGTCTACCGGCAATTCCACCGGAGCCTCCAAATGATCCCATGGGGGTTGTAGGGGGTCGGATTGGCCAGGATGGCCCTGTTGCACCAAATGCTGCGTTACGCTCCTAAGCGCTGTTTGGAGGATTGCATGTTTTTCGCTCCAAAGCGTGTGTTTTTTTTTTTTTTTTTTTTTTTTTTTTTTTTTTTTTTTTTTTTTTTTTTTTTTTACAGCTGGTTTCTATGATGTGCATGATATGGAATTGCCAAGGGGCGGCGTCGAGGGTCTTTCGCCGCACCCTCAAACAGTTTGTTAGGATGCATAAGCCTTCCATCGTTTGCTTACTAGAGCCTAAGGTGTCGGGAGACCAAGCGAATGCTATTTGCTCTGACTTTGGCTTTTCCGAATGGGTTAGAGTAGAGGCGGTTGGATTCTCGGGAGGAATTTGGATCCTTTGGAAGGATTTTTTGTTTGTTAACATTATTTGAACTCATCCCCAGTTTGTTGTTATGCATGTAGGAGAAGGTAGCTTGGAACCGTGGTTCCTCTCAGTGGTCTACGGCAGCCCCAACCTTCAATTGCGAAGGAGGTTGTTCTCCGATTTGTCAAGTCAGATCTTTGGCATACAAGGACCCTGGATGTCAGTAGGAGACTACGACACGGCAGCCTCCCGGAGCGAAGTTAGCAATCTAGAGACTTTCAATTTGTCCAGATGCTCGGAGTTCAACGATTGGATATTCCGTGAAGGGTTGATTGATCTAGGATTCACGGGTTCAAGCTTTACTTGGATGAGGGGTGTAAATACTACAACTTTCAAGGGTGCCCGCTTAGATAGAGCTCTTGTTAACGTGGATTGGAAATTAAGATTCCCGGGCACACACGTTGAGCACCTTCCAATGGTATCTTCTGACCATTCCCCACTTTTGATTAATACTAACTTGTCTCTTCCCAGTGTTAACTGGAAAAAAGTTCAAGTTCAACTATGCTTGGACTACACACCCCAAGTTCATGGACCTTATAAGACAGTATTGGATCCCAGGAGGGGACTTGGAGGCAAACACGGAGACTACGGCTACGGCCCTTCAAGACTGGAACAGGAGCGTCTTTGGGAATATTTTCCAAAGGAAAAATTGCATTTTGTCTAGGATCAATGGTGTGCAGCGCAGCTTGTGTATCAAAGCTACCCCGAATCTCTTGAGATTAGAGAGAAAACTCCAGATGGAACTAGAAGAAACTCTCTACCAAGAGGAGGTTCTTTGGTATCAACGGTCAAGGGATGAGTGGATAACGTCTGGTGACCGAAATACCTGGTACTATCACATGGCTACGATGGTGAAGAACTGCAGCAGTAAAATCAATAAATTGAAAGATGACTTTGGTGAATGGATAACAGAGGAGGAGAGGATTAGTGCTCATGTGAGGAACTGCTATACAAAGGAGTCAGTTCCATTAGTTCAAGACTTAGAAACAAGTTTTCCAGTGTAAGCTAGGAAGCTTGGACAGAGGTTGACAAGCCATTTTCTACGGAGGAGGTCAAGGCAGCGTTGTTCAGCATGGAGCCTTGTAAGGCTCCAGGCCCGGACGGTTTTAGTGCTGCTTTCTATCAAAATGCATGGGGCCTAGTGGGCAAGGGCGGACCTACAGTGGGGGCAGTGGGGTCAGCTGCCCCCACTCACCCCACCCCAACCCTTATATAACCCTTTATGTATATGTGTATATATAGTACAAGCTTTAGTATAAGTATTATAAAATAGAAAAATGTTAACAGAATGTGGCTTAGCTTAGTTGGCTGAACGCGTGGTTGGCCTGAACGCAAGTCAGGGTTTAAATCCCCTCTATCTGCTTTCAACATTTCCTTTTCATATTATTTCACTATTAACACTACCTTTTCTCATTATTTCACATTTTCACTATTATTAATAGTGCATATTGCTTCAACACAATAATATAATCTTCATTTATATATTAATAATGAGATGAGATGTGTAATTTATAATGGATCTTTTATTCAAATTATTTTATCAAATTGATTATGTTCATATTTTGTTATGAATATTTTTATAATGTTTTGATGTGTTTTATAATTTTCTTATATCCAACATTATTTATGGCTATACTTTTTAAGTGTTTCATTTTTTTTTCTAATTATCATTTTTGCTTTAATATTTTGCCCCCGCTGAAAAAAATTCCTGGGTCTGCCACTGCTAGTGGGTGATTCTATTGTCAAATTCGCTAAAACTTTTTTTAAAAAAGGGGAGCTTCCGGACCATTGCAATGACATGGTAATTACTCTTATTCCCAAGGTGCCCTCTCCGGAATATGTGAAACAGTTTCGCCCAATTGGGCTGTGCAACGTCACATACAAGATCTTAACAAAAGTAGTGGCATCAAGACTCAAGGACATCTCCAGAAGACTAGTCGGCCCCCACCAGACAAGTTTTGTTCCCGGTCGTTAGATTACCGATAATATCCTGGTTTTCCAAGAGGCTCTTAACTCCATGAGATGCAAGAAAGGGACTTCGGGATGGATGATAATGAAGATTGATTTAGAGAAGGCATACGATAGGCTGAATTGGGACTTCATCGAAGATACGTTAAAGGACATTGGACTTAGCAGTATTTGGGTAAGGAATATTATGCCTTGTGTGACTACATCAAGGCTATCAACTACTTGGAACGGCCACCAATCTGAATGGTTCAAGCCAGAGCGTGGAACACGTCAAGGAGACCTTATTTCCCCTCTCTTATTTGTTCTTTGCATAGAAAGATTTAGCCACCTGATTCGGGAATCTGTGGCTCTATGTAGGTAGAAAGGCTTCAAAGTCAATAACCTTGCCCCTCATATTACGCATTTATTTTTTGCAGATGATATGGTACTTTTTGGTGAGGCGTCAACCCGTCAAGCTGGGGAAATGAATGCTTGCCTGGAAAGGTTCTGTAGCAGTTCTGGTCAGAGAGTTAACTTGCTAAAGTCCTCCATCTTTTTTTCAAAAAACATCCCCGTTGATTTGCAGCACGAGATAGAACACATATCTGGTATTCCCAGGATGATGGACCTGGGCAAATACCTAGGAGTCCCCTTGCAGGCATTATAGAAATTGGGCATTATAGAAACTGGGCATATTGTACAGTAAATATTTAGATCGCCCAAAATCAAGGGCCAACAAAATACTACACGTTCTCACTTGATTAGAAATATATATATATATATAGAGGTTCCCAACCTATATAAATGCCCAATAAGACAAGCCCAACATGCAATACCCAATAGCCCAAGAAAAAAAAATTATAGCCCAATACAAAAATAAAATTCAAGGTAAATTATGCCGTGCAACCGAATGCACCTTGCAAGGTGCATACGGTTGCAAAACGGCGCCGTTTTATTAAAAAAAGACACGGCTCGCTTAAAATTAAAAAAAAAAAAAAAATTGGATGGCCGTTAGCGGCGTTATTCATCTCGTATTTGATAGTTTTGCGAATTTTGGTAGTTTGGCGTTTTGATTTTAGTATACGCAAAATCGCAATCGCAATAGCAATCGCAGTCGCTTTCCCGATTTCTTGTATGGATCATATGATGGATGAGGCAGTAGATCAGAGAGATGAAGCAGCTGATGAATTGCATACGGTTCCAGGTTATTTTGCATCTGGTTTTTTATGAATTTGTGATCGTTTGCGATTATTTTGATTGTTGCAGTGTGATATATTGTTTAGGTGTTTATATTTAGTGTGATTGTATACAACGTATGTGATGTTGGTCATTATAGTCTGAGATCATTCGTAATTCTGGGTGTTTATGTGTTTATGGTTTTCTGAATGAACGAAATATATATCCATAATGTTTGAACTATATAACCAGAAGTTGTGAGCTATATATCCAGAATTATAATAGTATATATCAAGGATTTTGTGAACGGATACTCTGTTTTGGATTGCATATCCATAGTTATTGAACTTTATGTCCAGAAATTGTGAGCTATATATCCATAATTCTAATACTATATATCCAGAATTCTAATACTATATATTAACTAATTTCTAAACTGATACTCTGTTCTGGCTTGTAACATTATGCAGTCAGTGAAGATGTTGTTGTTGATTCATCAAGTTCAGATCCAATAGAGTTAGACATTGATGGTTCTTCTTCAATTCCAGGTCTATATGTAGTTTTATTTGCTCATAATTCACAGTGTTCAGCGTTGTTATATTTTCATTCTTTTTCCATGGAAAATGTTATTCCTTTTGTAGAGCATGGCTTGATTTATTCGGAATTATATTTTCAATGGAATGTGTATTATTTGTTATACTTGAGGTTATATATTGCATTTGCAGTTGATGAAGATTTGGTTGGTGTTGTTGTAAGTAACGGGGTTGAAGCTTATGAGTTGTATAACAATTATGCATATAGACTTGGTTTTAGTGTGAGGAAGGGTAATCAACGGTGCAAGGTATATAGTAAAACAGTCCAAATGAAGATGTTTATGTGTTCTAAAGCTGGTTTTAAGGTTAAGGCAAATGCTGGTGTTAGGGCATATTCAAAAATTGACATAAGGACAGGGTGTGGTGCATGTGTTCAGTTTGACGTGGGTGAGGATGGGTTGTGGACGGTTACAAAACATGTCAAAGTGCACAACCACGAGTTATGTGCTGTAGACAAGAGTCATCTTCTCCGTTCACATAGAAATGTGGGTGATAATCAGCTGTTATATTTAAAAGATTTGAAGAAGAGTGGTGTTGCAATGACAGATGGTATTAGGTTTTTGAAACATCAAGCAGGGGGGTCTCCATTAATTGGTTTCACTAATCGAGATGCTTATAATTCGATTGCTTCCGATACATCAAAGCGTTTGGATGGAACAGATTCGAACTCATTAATTGAAATATTTAGGAAGAGGCAATCGACTGAGTCTGATTTTTTCTTCGATTTTGAAGTTGATTGCGATTCAAGACTGTGCAGTTTTTTTTGGAGGGATGGTCGGATGAGACAAGACTATGAGTTGTTTGGGGATTTGTTAGTGCATGATACAACATATCGCACCAATAAATATGATATGATTTGTGGCCCTTTTGTAGGGATGAACCATCACTGCATGAATGTAATGTTTGGATGTGGTTTTTTGATGAATGAGAGGATAGAATCATTTGTGTGGTTGTTTAGAGCATTTTTAAGATCTATGAATGGGAAGTGTCCACAGTCTATCATGACAGATCAATGTGCATCCATGGCTGCTGCTATTTGTCAAGTGTTTCCAACATCACGTCATCGTCTTTGCATATGGCATATTGGTGAGAATTCGAAGAAGCATATCAAGGCGTTAAGGAATAATAAGGATTTCTTGGATATGTTTAACTGTGTGTTGAAATACACAGAGACTGAAGCTGAGTTTGAATTTTATTGGACAAGGTATGTCCACTATTTTTTTTTTCATTCCAGTAAATGAATTATGGATATATAGTATTAGAACTATGGATATATAGTATTAGAATTATGTGAACATGTAGTAGTAAAGCATGACACTTTTCTGATTGTTTCTGAATTACATGCATTCAATTTATGGATTTATAGTATTTGGAATTGTGGATATATAGTAATAGAATTATGGATATATAGTAGTAGAATTATGGATATATAGTATTAGAATTATGTGAACATGTAGTAGTAAAGCATGGAACTTTCTTATTGGTTCTGAACATATGTCTTATCATTTTCAGGTTGGTGACTGATTATAAGTGTCACAAGAATAGTTGGATACAAAAGTTGTATGATTGTAGGGAGAAGTGGTGTCCAGCATTCAACAAGGATTATTTTTCAGGGGGCATTTTATCATCGCAAAGGAGTGAAACTACTAATCATTCGATTTCAAGAAGGCTGTCTAAGACTGCGGGTCTTTGTGATTTTTATTCATCATTTGTTAGTGTAATTTCTGAATGGAGAAGCAAAGAGAATGGTGAAGATTTTCGTTGTGCTCAAGGGGTACCCACTATGATGATGGAGCACGTGAAACTTCTTTTACACGCTAGAGAGGTATATACGATTGAGATATATTTTTTGTTTGAGGAACAGTTTATGAAAGGCAATGCTTGTCATCAAGAAATGGTGTTGAATGATGGTTGTCAGTTCAAGTATCATGTATGGCGTCCAGATATAGATATTATAAGGCATGAAGTTAGTTTTAAGTTGGCAACCTTGGACATTTCGTGTAGTTGCAAGTTGATTTCCGAGTTGGGAATTTTATGCTGCCATTGTTTACGTATTCTTCATATACATTGTGTTTCTAGTATCCCTAATAAATATATCATGAAAAGGTGGACTAAAAAGGTTGCTGATGGTAGGGATGTGAATACTGGTCCAATGTTTTATAGAGCTGGTGTCCCTCCTTCAATTTGGGTTGTGGAGATTTGTAGAAAATTTCAAAGATTGATTGCATCTAGTCAAGATAATAGTGTAACTAGACAGTTCTGCGATGAAGCAGTTGAGGATGCAAAGAAAAAGGTTGAAGCTGAGATTGGCTATGTGCATATTGAAGAGTGTGGTGTTTCATCTTCAAGTGGTGTCATTCAAAATCCTTCAAACCGGAGATCAAAAGGTGAGCGTAATGTAAGGAGGAGTAGTGTTATTGAAAAGAAGTACAGTGTTGCAAGGGGGAGGAGGAGTGCTGCAAATAAAGTTGCTTCGAGTACAAAGGGTGCTGTTCAGTCGTTGGTTTTGGGAAGTCTATCTGAGATTGCCGGGGATGGGTACCTTGTACATCCAAGTTCTGGGAGTTCGGAGTTTTGTCAATTTTAGTAATGATTTAGATGATAATGCAGTTTTAGACTGAGATTGGGTTTAATACAAGTTGTTAGCTGTTTTGAGGATATCAATTTACAAGTTTTTTGATCTGTGTATTCAAAATTTTAGAACTTGTTGTTTTGCAGGTTTAAAGCTATATATCCATAATATTAAAGCTATATATCCATAATACTAAAGCTATATATCCATAATATTAGAGCTATACATCCATATTTCCGAGAACTATATGACCACAAATTATTGGACTTGTATGTCAAAATAGTAAAAGTGTTCATAATGTTATATCAATATATCCACAATATTAAAGTTATATATCCACAATATTATAAATATAAATTAATAAATAGTTGAACTTGATATTTACACTTATGTAAAATGTTATGTTGACAGTTGAACAAATATTCATAACTTTATATCAATATATCCACAATCTTAAACCTATATGTCCATAATCTTTGAAATATAAATTCATGAATATTTGTGGTCAATCTTTGCACTTAAGTAAAATGTTCATAATTGTATACCAATATATACACAATCTTAAAGCTATATATCCATAATATGAGAACTATATATTCAGTGAATTTCATAGATCAGAAATTGCAACAATTGCAATAAAGTTGTTACAAAACAATCTTTGATCATAACAAAAAACGTTCAATGATCTTTGCAGTTTTACTTTTTCTTGTCTTCAATCTTTGCAGCTTTCATGACCTCGCTTATGATGGTGTTCGGTTTTGATGTGATGATACAAGCAGCATACTTTGCCCTCAACTCACAAATGAAGCTAGCCTGTAAATTAAGAAAAATAAATAATTAGTTTATTGTAATTTTGTTATCCTTTTTCAATGTAGTATGAATGTAATTTATTTATGTTACTCTTACATTTGTGCGCATATGTTTCTTGAACCCAGGATCCCAGTCCTCGAGAGCTCCACCCATGTAAGTCTCCATATGCCGCATTACATATATGCCACAGTCGGTAACATTGTCAGCATTTTTCCAGTTCATGGCAAGGAACTCTACTGGCATGCTGTTCAGTTTGTGAGTCAAGGTGGATTGTCCTGCTGCTAGGTATGCCTTGAATGCTTCAATCTGGTAAAAAATTAGCTCAATGTTCATAATGTTTTAAATTCAATATATAGGTGACAATAAGGAGTTTTTTAATATAATATAAGCTACCAGTTTATATGGACAGTCCCCATATTTATCAAGCTCTGAAACACCAGCAGGCAATTCCTTGTTGTCTATCACCTGAACCTTGGATTCCTTGACATTTATGCACACAACAAAGTAGTGTGCATGGCGATGCACTGGGAAAAATATCTAATTCCAAAACAAAAGGTATAGCGATGTTAATATTTATGGACATGATAAATTGAAATTACAGAAGATTATGTTAAAGATCAAATTTGAACAAGTACATACCCATGTATTATTAACTGCATGGGTATACATACATTCATATTTCACAGAGTACTATATATCCACAATCATATAACTATATATCCACAATTTTAAAACTATATATCCACAAATTCAGTACTACATAAAGGATCTTAATAAACTGAGTATATTCCAAGCCTCATGCATATATATCCATAAATTCATAACTATACATCCAAAAAATACATTACTATATATCCAGAATTCTTAACAGTATGTTCACAGAGTAATACATTCATATATTCACAGAGTACTACATATCCATAATCACATAACTATATATCCATAATTCTAATGCTATATATCCACAAATTCAGAACTACATAAAGTATATTAAAAAACTGAGTATATTCCAAGCTCCATGCATATATATCCATAATAAATTTTTAAATTATTAATTTGAGTGTGTGTAATAGATCTTACAAGGTCTGCATCATTGATTTCCAGGTTTCCGAAACTTGATATTTCATAATTCAATCTATCATTGAAATTTTTCATCTTTTTCTCGGCTGGGAGACTTTTCATCCAATCATCAGATGGATCAAGCTGCAGCTGTTTTTGAATACACAGAATGCAAAAATGAGGATTCAAAAGGCTTAGTGTACTATATATCCACAGCTAGATTTTTAAAAATGTGCATGTGCATGTCAAAAATAACTCTTACATGTGGCAATGTGGTGAAGAATACTCGTTTTGGTATCCCAACAGCACGTTCTTTGTTCTTCAAAGTTAGCCGCAAAGACCAAACATTCAAGAAGTCTATATCCAGCTCGCCGTTGCTCAAAGTTGAGAAGTGACGCCTTGTTAGGTAGTAGTCACCATAGCTGAACAGCAACTCACTACAACACCAGAATAATAATAATAATAATAATAATAATAATAATAATAATAATAATAATAATAATAATAATAATAATAATAATAATAATAATAATATGAACTATCTAAGTAATTAAAAGTTTGTTATAAATATACGTGTTCAAACATACTCTTCTGGGTGTTCGTTAGACGCACTCAAGAATGCATAGTTTGAGATGATTTTTTCCCGGGGAGTTGCGTTGCGTATAAAACTTGCATTCTGTGTCCAGTATGGTGACCTCAGACAAAGAGGTTTGTTCCTGAATCGTCGCTGGGGTCTCTTCCTAACAGTCACGTCATCAACATCAGACTCACTTTCTTGCATGGCACTGTTGTTTATATATCCACAGTGTTAGAACTTCATATCCATAATATTAAACCTAAATGTTCATAATTTTATATCTATATATCCACAATTTCAAAGCTATATGTTCACAGTTGTAAAAATGTTCATAATTTTATATTCATAATCTTAGAACTATAAATTCATAATGTTAAAGCCAAATGTAAATAACAAACTGTCAGTTTACCGATCAAAGTCATCAACATCAGCATCAGCAGCAGGGGCATGATGGACATATCTTCGAAATGGGACTCTAACAAGTGGAGGAGTTACTTCTGCTCCCAAGGGCGTTGACAGTCCTGCATCTTCTCCAATTTGTTGAACCAAAGCATCCAATGGTTGTTCCTCTTCAACTACTTGCTCTGTTTCTTGCTCATGTGGCTGTGGTTGGGATTCATTGCAGTGTATTCCCAAATCAAATGATGGAGCTTCAAATTCCATGGTTCTTGTTGTTTTCTGAAATGCTTCCACCAACGAATCCACTGCAGCTGTGAAGGTTTCACTCCCAAAGAATATGTCATCCAACTGAGATTCAGTTGGAACGGAAGTTGATTCAATTGCACTTGCAGCACCTAGCATGTTTGATATCCCTGAGAATGCTTTCTTCATCACTTCAATAGGTGCGCCCTGCTTTCCAATTTCAGACATAGCTTCACCAAACTCCAAAACATTTGATGCTAGCTTTTGAAGCACACGGGTCACTCGGTCAACACTTGAGAGTGGCTCATTTGTAGGTGGTGTTGGTGTTGCAGTAGCAGGAGTAGAAGAAGTAGTAGCCTGTGAGGTGGTAGCAGCAGCAGTAAATGCAGGTTGTGGCAGTGAGGTTGTAGCAGCAGCAGCGCTTGCAGGTTGTTGCAGTGAGGTGGTAGCAGCAGTTCTTGGCTTCTTAACCCTAGGGATAACCTTTCCCTTTCCAAACCCCCCAGCCTTTTTTTCAGCCTTGACTCTCTTTCTTACAAGAGTGCTCGTCCAAGCAAGTATGCTAGGGTATGTCCTGTTGACCTTCATTCCTTTGAATTCTACTCGATCAAAGTAGAACAGCTACAAATTAAAGAAGATTATGTTAAAGATCAATTTAGAACAAATTACCCATGTATTTCTTAATTGCATGGTGACAGAGTAATGCATTCATATTCACAGAGTACTACATATCCATAATCACATAACTATATATCCATAATTTTAAAACTATATATCCACAAATTCAGAACTATATAAAGGATCTTAATAAACTGAGTATATTCCAAGTTTCATGCATATATATCCATAAATCCATAACT